GCGTCAGAGGGTGGGGCTCAGCCGGTAAAACCAAAATACGTACCCATTACGGAGCACCAGCTTCAAGTTCTAAATATAGTTGCTGCTGCGCCTCAACGGGACTCAATGCCCCCAACCACCAAAAGGCTTCAATCGCTCGCTGCCTTACGAACCTCCATGTGGCACACTTCCATCTGGGCTCTTCCCTTGTCACGCACGCGAGGCACGACATCTACGGACATTTAGAGCTCGGCCTTCCCGTTCAAGTCTAAATAGGAGATCCCTCGTCCGTGGTGAACGAACCTGTGAGCTTATTCACGGTGACTTGGAGCGGAACCAATGGCTGCCTTGGCCGCGGGCTGGGTCAGGCTTGGAGTTGGAAAGGCCCCCAGACCTGCCATGACTGCCCAGGGCGCGGCTTTGTGTCGGATCACTAATTACACGTAACAAGAGACGGACGGGCGGGCAAGACGGGCTGACGTATGATACCCATGTGGTGGTGGCTCGTTCATACGTGCGAACGGATGAAAGAGATGTTCGGGTGGGAAAAGGGTGGTTATCATCCCGTCCCGTCACAACATCATGAATGCAAGATACTGCACAAGGAACTTCAAACCCAATCTATCTGAGGTCAGGGAAGCATATTGGATCTCTACAAACGACAGTGGTGAGAAGTGATGGATGCTGAGGAGATGAGGGGTCAACGGCCGCGACAACACCAATAACTCAACAACAGGCGGGGATAATGCAGGCTGACAGCGTCGTCTTCCATATTGACGGGACCCAGCATCTTGGGTGCCTGATGTCCGTGGCTGATGGAGAGTTGATAAACCTGAAACACGACAGCGAAAATGCGAGATCGAGATATCCAAAGGACCTGAACAGCCCTACCCAGCCTCTCGCTTCGACGTTGACGAAAATCTCCAGCGGGATGTTCGTACGTTACACATCAATGCTGAAAAGTTCGTTAGCGTGAGACTTCACAACATACCTACTCTTCGCAACTCGACCAAAATTCCACCAATTTTCTTGCAAGAAGCTGCTATTAATATGATGTGCTTTGCCCATTTCATATAATCTCTCCAATTTTCTGTCCTTAATGTGGCTGTTCCGTTGCTTTTTGGTGAAGTTTTGCAGACGCCTGTTACAAGAACCGCGCTAACAAACTTTCCAGCATTGATGTATATGTCCACTGTTCGACTCCCGTTCCTCCGAAGTGAAGGCCACAAGTACTCCACCATGTTGCCAAAAGCGGTTCGATGTTCTGTTACTGTACGAAGGATCACGAACTGGTACGGAAGTACAGGTCGTTGCTTTGGTGCAAGGGAAACACCCCGTTGGCCGTCACAATTTGACTGTTTGTGTTCCTTCGTATGTTCAGATCCCTTGTGTGGTCAAATTCCTTGTGCAAACCCCAAGGCTTGGGGTTGTATATAGCGACTTGGCACATGTTTTGTTGGCGAGGTCAGTAGACATGTTTCCCCCGGACACGTGTAGGTGCTTCCAATCTTTGCCGTCCTATTGGGAGGCCGTTCAAGGTGTCACATTCACGGTATCGTCTGCGGCTGTTACTACAGTGTTCTCGAAGGCGGCCGGGTGATGAGTGGTGCAAGAATACGAAGTTGCTCTGTCTCGTCCCGACAAACTGGAAGAAAGCCCAAGTCAAACAGGTGGAGGGGCGGGGTATTTTGAATGACAAGGCCGAAAGGGTTCACCACTGGCACTTGCACTAACAAAGCTACTTCACCTTGCGACTTGCCTCTCTAAAAACAGTGCCCAGAAGGCAATGAAAGGGCAACGCGATAAACAGGTCAATCCGCAGAATAAAACCTGATACGTTGGCGACGCGTCAGTAAATCATCAAGGGACGGTGGCTGCTCAAGACACATTCGTAATGCCAGCTTAATAACAGTGCGATTAAGAGCCCAGAAAGGCAAGCTGTTTGCGGTGATGACAGCCAAGTCCCCTTCAATCTCACACGGCCCCGGGAACTGTGAGCGACACAGGTCCAACTTGTTACTGCGCCACCAGCGGCCGACACAGCCCAGTTCAAGTTGCTGGGTGCCCACACATTGCCCACCAGCTGAAGATCCTTCCAGCTTTCCGGCCAACCATCTCAGCGCATCTCAGCCATTCCACCTCCATGACCTGGCTGTCAGCACCTGACTGACAAACAACGGAAACCTGAAAATCATATTTGATGTTTTGATCGCCCTTTCTTGGATTCCAGGCGTTCTCTTCTTTCATCATCTTTCCTGTGTATCCTACGATTTTCCCTCGAATATCTCTACTCGAGCCGATATCAACAACAACAACACAACCCGACATTTTGGCGCTATCGGAACACACCATCTAGAACCTCACTAAACGACACCCCGCCAACCGCCTAACGCACGACACCTAACCCAGCGAGCGGTTTCCCCTCCCCCGCACGACCTGACCTGAATAAATCAGCCTTGCAACCCGTCGTCACAACCGTCCCACGATCCAAAAACAAATACTACATACAGTCGCCGACAACAACACCACCACCAATATGGGTGTCGGCCGCTTTGTCTGCGTGGCCCTGCCATTCCTGCTCACAGTGGCATCGCTCATCGCTCTCCTAGTAGGCGGCCTAGGCGGCGTCGCCGACAAGTCTCTGTACATGTTCGACGTCAACCTGTCCAACTTCTCCATCTCGCTCGTCGACGCCGCCGATTTGTTGAATATCAACCAGTCCGCCATCCTCGACGCCGGC